TAATTTACATAATATATGTATCGGGCAGGAAATTTTTTTAACTTAAGCTAAAATTAATTAAAAAATTAAATCTAAACATAAAGATTTAAGCTTTGTAGCCACAGCTTCATTTTCATTTTCCAAGAAGCTACATAATAAAAAATCGTGGGATTTTTACTTTTTTTTTATTTTTATAAAGCCTGAAACAAAAGGAAATCATTTAAATTGTGGGGAGATAATGCTTTAATACCAAAACTTAATATTTAATTTTTAGTAAAACGGATCTTGAACCTTTAATTGAAAAAGGAATTGAAAGGGACAAGGAATGGCTCAGAAAAAATAAAAGTGAGAGCCATGAAGTTGAAAGGCCAAATATATTTATTGTTTGAATTTTAATTGGAAACTGGAAGCTATTGCCTCATTTTCATAATTTTTTGTGTATGTACAAACCTCCCAAAAAATTTTTTATTATATTTTTTATAAATAATTTATGTATTTGCTCAATTTGTTATTAATAAATATCTAAAAAGATTTCACTTTAATGTTTTTAATATTTCCTGAACTTTTTAATTACCTATGTTATTTGTTAGCTAAGATTAAAGAGACGTCTACGTGTAAATCGAAGTCTATTTATTTATATAGAGGTTGTTATTTGATGGAGGGTACCTAGGAGATGTTTTAGGAATATATCCCATTATTAACAACAATCAAATCTTTTCTCAATCTTATTCTTCGATACAATATAAAATTATCTAATTTATATGTACCCACTAGTGATTGATAATATAATTGTTACTCTGGAGTTAAAAAACAATTAAAAATTATTTATATTATTTTAACAATTAATCTAAATAAATATAGGTACATAATTAAAATTTAAAAATTATTTAACTTTAATTCTTTCGTCATTAAATAAAAAAATAATTAAATTAGCGTTCATTATCGGTATTTTTCTCCATTTTTTCTTGACCAGACAAAATAATAGTAACCTATTTTTTTCGTTTGTTTTTTACACGACTAATTGACGCCCTTTCTATGTGCATACCAAAATTTAATAGAATGCCCTTCATCTCTTTATTTGTGATATTTTGTCAAACTGATTGAAACGTTCCGATAATGATGTAATAAGAGGAATTTGATTAAAAAAATATTTTACTTAGTGAGTATTTTTGATAAAGTTGTATTTAAATTTTCTAGCTATTAAGACAGCGTTTCCCTGCAAATTAAAGTCAATGAGATATGATTGGATAAAGGGGATCAAGTTGGATAGAGAAAGAAGAATCTGATTAAATAATTTTTATCGAAAATTATAGCCTCGGAATAGTTTTGATATTGTTGTTATACTTTATTTTTACTCCAAACATTTTTATTCAAAAAATATATTTTTTGATATCAGTCATCAACATCAGTAATGTCCTTCTAAATATTTATACTATTGAGTAAATAAAAAATATATAAAATAAATAAATTGATGAGAATATTTTTTATTGGGAAATCCCTTATTTGACCTTGATTTTTATTGAATATATTTTTATTTTTTATAATAAAAAATGAGAAATTTAAATAAAAATTCGTACTATGGTATAAACTGGAGAGGAATGAAAACTTGGAAATAAATCGAAAAAAATATTTTTCTAATTATTTTAAGTTTTTTTATCACTAAATATTTGTTAGAAATAAAACTATTAACATCCACACTCTTTTCTAGTATTTTAAAAAATTGTCCCAAAACGCCACTGGCTGCAACATGTCAACGCAAATATAAATCAAAGAATATAATTTTAATTATGACGAGTTAGCAAATAAATGAAAGAAAATATAAAATAAAGATTAAATAAAAATAATATTAACTTAAAAAAGATTCAAAATTTAATAGAGGAAAAAGTAGAAGGCAGCTAAAAGCATATTAGAAAGCACCTAATTTAGAAAAAAACTTATTTTAAATTGAGGTGGATCTAATTGTGGGTTTCGATGTAAGTTTCAACCTGTTTTTCCTCATTTAAAGTCAACCATTCAAGCTTTATTCAATTTCAATTTCCTAATTAAAACAAAAATTTGATTTTTTTTTCTAAATGACCTGTTTTTATTCAAATAATTCTAATTTTCATTAATATTTTAAGTAGGGTTGTACCCCGAACGCTCGGGGGCGGGTATGTCGGGGTACGGGGTTTTCCAATTGTTTCGGGGCGGGGTTCGGGTCGGGGGAGCAAAATATGGCCGGGGTTCGGGTCGGGGTACGGGGGTTTAGTGGAAAAATTTTTAGAGAAAAAAATGCTCAAAAATAATTAAAAATCGATATATTTTCGTTGATTTATTCAAAAATTAAGTAGGATTTGAAGAAATTAGAGGGGATTTAGAGGGATTAAAGTGTATAACTTGGTATATAAGTGGATCTGGAGGGATTAAGTGGGATTTTTTGGGTTAAATGGTATATCTAGGGATACAAGGTGATCTGGAGTGATTTTTGTTGGTTCAAGGGATATTAGTGATTTATAAGAATATTGATGTATTGCGGATAAGGGTATTTGGACGGATATCAGGAGATATCTTCGATTAATCCTTAAATCTCCCACGAAATCCTTGTTAATTCCGTTAAATTCACGTAATCCTTTAAATCCATTTTAATCTAAACCTTATATCCCTTTAAATCCCTTTATAACTCCTTAATTCTTCGATATCCTACAAATCCCTTTATATCTCTGATTCCCGTTAACATGACCTAATAGTTTACCAACTGTTATGGTTGAGAATTGGTGATACAGAGGGTTTGAAGGATTAAGGGTGGTTCAAGAGATATCAGTTAAAAATAAAATTAATATTTTAAAATTAAAATTTAACTCGTTAATAATTTGTTTTTGTAAAGAAATATAAAAACAACAGAGTTCACCTTAAATGGATCCGAACCCAATCCTATATTAATGAAATATCGGCTAAAACCAACGACTAAGCCACTCAGCCACAAGTCTTTTAATAAAGAAGGAAAGAAAATTATGATATTTTATTCATTTTTCTTTCAAGAATAATAAAAGCAAAGTAAAATGGGTGGAAATTTTTTAAATTTTCTTCATTAATTTCTCCAAAAAATGACATTTTTAGGGGTATAAAACCCCGATAACCCCGAAACTTTTTGGGCCGGGGAACGGGGTTTTCACTTTTTTTCGGGGCGGGGTTCGGGTCGGGGAGAATCGTGAAAAAATCGTTCGGGAACGGGGTCGGGGTTCGGGGTACGGGGTCGGGGTACAACTCTAATTTTAAGTTGCGCAGAAATATTAAAAATAACAGAAATTATTACAAAATAAAAGAAAATCCTTTACTTTACACTTTCTCTTTATTTCTAGCCTTGGGCTCTGGCGGGGCATTGTATTTATTTTATTATTCAAAATATTATTCTTTGTTTATTTTAATGTTTTAATAAAAGACGGGTACAAAATAAAATTTAAAGAAAAAAAGAGAATGCCCTCCTCCTCCTACAAAGAATTGGGGATATAAAAGAAATTCAGTAAACGGCATCTTCAAAAAAATTTTTTTAGATTGTGCAATCCCTATTCAACATTTATTTTCTTCTTTATATTAAAACCCGTTGTTGGTCAACATAGCGAGACCCATAAATTTTATTGTAAAAAGGTTTATATTTGGAAAGAAAATTTTTGATTTTTTTCAATAAATTATGTAACCGTAATTTAAGGCTTTATTTTCTTTATTTTTTTTTCAATTTTTTACATAATATATTAATTTATCATTTTTATAATACCGTCTAAATAGTTTAACACCGTCTATAAAACTTTTTCTAAAATATTTGTAATTCTTTCTTTCGCCTTTTTGGTTAAATTTGGAGTAAAAAATTGGGTGGGGATAGTCTAAATTTTATAAGAATTTTCTCAATTTGTTTTCTAATTTCTAATCTTGAAGAAAGAAAAGATTCTTCTTCAAAAACAATATTTGTATTCCCCTTTTCTTAGACAAAAAATAATTATGGCATTTAATTTTCTAACAATAGGAAAAAATAAAAAAAAATTATTTCAAAACTTTTTTGATCTAAAAACGTTAAAAATTCAAAACAAAATTTCCATTGTTCAATTTTTTTCTTTGTCCTTCTATATTTGGGAAAGCTTCTTTTTTTCTAAAAAACGTTAAAAACCTGCATAATTGTAAAGATACGGCCGAAGATGTGTACAACACAAGTTGGGGTCCGAAAACCAAAAAAAGTGGAAAATGGCAATGGACAGACTGACAACAACAACAACTAGCTATAAACACCTAAAAAATTCATCATTTTTATTTTAATCCTGTTCAAAAATTTTTTCTGATAGCCAGAGCTTTTGTAATTCCTGCTTTTAACAAAATAGAATTTCTTTATTAAATGGGACTATTTATCTATTCATATCTAATTACTAGATATAATCAGAAATTATGGACTCATATTGTATTATTTTTTATCCATTCGATTTCTAAAAAAATCATTATCCATATCAACCTTTCTGTATATATCCGGATTTTATCCTTTCCACGCCCAAGTCTGGAAAATATTCTCTAATATTTTTGCCTATAAAACTTGCAGACTTTTTGGAAGGCCACTTTTCTAACAAAATCTTTTTAGAATTTTATTTATTTTCACCGGAAATTAACAAATTTTTAACACAAATAAATAAGAGAATAAGCTTAAAAAGATATCAATCACTAAATTAAATTAATTTATGAGTCATGCATTTTTGTATACAGAATTATTGTTTTATTTAAAAGTATTTATCTGTTCATTACAAATTTTTGGATTTTTATTCTCTCTCATTTAACGAGTAATTAATCGGTCATTTTTCTGTTCACTCTAAAAAAGGGCTTTCAACAATTCTTTTTTATCCTTCTCCCTTAAACATTTCAACATCATATCATTAAAAGACTAATAAATAACAACTACTATATCTGGTGATGACGACCCAAATATTTTTCATCCACCCAATTCTCTGCTTTTCCACACATAAATCTCTTTTTACATTTATCTTTTCTATACTAGTTAATGACTAAAATCGGTTGAGCGGACAAGTAGTAAATAATGAAAGTAGGTATATTTTATAGTTGCTGCGCCATTTTTCTTTTTTTTTTGATGACAGGTAGTACCACAAAAAACATATCCATCTTCGGCAAAGAAAAAAGTCTTTTTTCCTCCTTCCTTCATTTAGTAGCTATCAACACCCACCATTCCAATTAAATAAATCTTTCTAATAGTCATTCATCTTTTTAAGCAACGCCTAAAAAGAAAATTATTTAACGCAACCTCTCTAAAAACAAAAATAAATTGTTTAGTTATAATAAATACCAATTAAGAAATAGATCCAGCAATATATTTATCCTTTGTTTTCGCAAATAAGTTTGTTTTTTTCGCACCTTTTTTAATTTGGTGGCAGGCCATGGGTGGTGCATCTTTGGGATTTTTTGATCACGGGTGGATAGAGACTGGTAGAGGCAACTTTGAGAACGTTAAGAAAGTACATATTTTTGGCCAGAGGAAATCGCTGTTTTGTTTTTCGTTGTTCTTTAACCTTTTAGGCATCAATCAGTTCATCCCCAGTCCCCTCATTATAAACAAGCCCTAAATCCAGCATTCTCTCTTCATTCAGTTTTCATTTTTGTTTTATAATAAGATTTAATTATTTTGGTTTTTATTTTCGTCTTTTTTGTGATAGTCCATAAATTAAACTAAAGCATTAAAATAGTTACAAGTATTTGTGTAATCCTCTAACATGTTTACTTCCCTAGATATATTCTCAAATGTGAATAGTTTATTTGAGTGTCCGGTCAGTATGGTATACCTAGGTATACCTTGGTATAACGATATTTATATCATGGAAATATGTGCAGTTATTTTCTGATATTGGTATTATACCGATATTGAATGTGTTAACTGTTTTCCGAACACCTTTAGGTAATTTTAATGAAATAAAATTTTAAATTAGAATAAAACCTCCAAAATTCTTAGAAAAGAAAAGATGATTAATAATTCAAAAATTCAAGTTTATAAAATTAAATATAGAATTTACTAAATTATTAGACAAAAAATATTAATGCGCAAAAGCATTCCCTTTTTTTAAAGTTTTTCTTCTTCAATTCTCCATTTATTAAATAAAAATTACTTCGTCATTTCTTTATCTTTTTTAGCAATCTTTAAGGTATAAATAATCAAACGCAATCTCTTTTAGAGAAAAGTATTCTCCATCATTAAAACTTTTAGGGCGTTTTGATTTATATATTTTTTTGTTTAAAAAATTCTAGGCGTTCATTTTCTCCTTAAATTGCTCTTTGATTTTACTTTACCCATAAATTTTGAATTTATTCCACTTTAGCCGAAAGAATGAAAAAATAGTTTTAAATTTATTACAATCGGGGGCTTACTATAATACACCCTTTGGTGTATTTTATAACATTGAGGGGTATTTTATAATAAAATTTCGATTGTATTTTTTAAAAGATGGATATATTTTAGGCTTAGAGGATGATTTTCTTCTCCTGTCACTACCTTGTTTGCAACCCCCCCCCATCCCCCATTAATTTTTCTTTCATCATCTTTCTCTGCTTCTTTTCCAAATTCCAGTGAAAACCCTATAAAATTCCTAATTTTAGAACCTTGTCCCTTTAAAAATTTCAAATTAAAAGTGTAAGCCTTTTCTGTCATTTTCAATTTAACTCAATTACGCATTTTATTCATTTTTAAAAAATCTTTCCATTCTCTTATTATTTAATTGTTGACCTATTTAATTAAAATTAATTTGCGATTCGATTGTTCTTAAAGAAAATAATTTTTAAAAATAATTAACACGATTTACTATTTAATAAAGCAAAAAATTATTTATAAAAAATTATTTTCAGTCAAAAAAATTTTCTTTAAAAATGTTCTCAATCACCAAAACTGCCATATTATTTACATTCTTGTTGTTCACCTCTACTGTTTATGGACGATCAAGTATGTTAAATTAAGATGGTTTTTCTGATTTCGCTATGAGATACTTCCAATACATATTAAATACACCTTATCGTTTTAAAGAATTTAGTTGGTTGCCAATGATTAATGGATTTAAAATTTACCTCATTATTAGATGTTTCCCTTGACTTCTGCCTCAAGGAAAAAAATAATATAACGAGAATCTTATAATATTCATTATAATTGCAAACAATCTAATACTTTTTGTTAGTTGTAAAGCGAAACAATGCTTATGGAGATGAACCAGTTCTTCCATCTGGAGCTGCTGCAGCTTCACCTGTTAGTCAGCCAGAAAGGACGGCAGCTGCTCCCGAAACGGCACCGACCATTGTTGAACAGAAACCGATAGAAGGAGGTTCTAATGCACTTTCTGGAATTGCACCGGCCGCTGAGAAGGCACCAGCACCAGCAGAAGCTGCCGCACCGCAAGCAGCTGCACCTGGTAGATTTTCAAACTCCTATTTATAGTAAATATGCGCACATTTTTAAATTTTAGCTGAGCAAAAACCAGCAGAATCCCCAGCACCTGCCGCTGCCCCAGCTCCTGCTGCTGAGACACCAGCAGCAGCCGCTCCAACATCAGGTGCTTCTGCTCCAGCAGAATCAGCTGCACCTCAAGGTGCTGCTGCTGCCCAACAACCTTCAGCTGCTGTTCCATCAACTGGAGGAGCTTCGTATAGCGGTGGTGCTGCCGCTGCCGAATCTTCTGCTCCTGCACAAAGTGCTGCTGCTCCGGCCGAGTCTGCCGCTCCAGTACCTGCCGCTGCACAATCTGCTTCTGCACCAGCTGAACAGAAACCTGCCGAAACTGCACCAGCTGCTGCTCAAGTAATTTTAAACAATTGTTGAATGATACGAATGTCGAATTTAAATCGTATCTTCGCTATTTCGTTTTTCGTTTTTTCAGAATGCTCCAGCACCTGCCGTCGCACCATCGCCTGCTGCTGAAACACCAGCAGCAGCCGCTCCCTCATCAGGTGCTTCTGCTCCAGCAGAATCAGCTGCTCCAGCCCAAGGAGCTGCCCCGACAGAACAGAAACCTGCAGAAAATGCACCAGCACCCGCCGAAGCTGCGCCAGCAAAATCTGCTGCACCGGCTGAGGTGATATACATACATATACATAATTAATATTATTTAATTTTCTAATACATACATATGTATTTGTACCTTGATTTTGAATATATTTACATATCATTATTTTATAGGCTGCACCAGCCCCTGCTGCCGCCGCTTCCCCAGCCGCCACAGGAGGTGGATATAGTGGCGCTGCTGCAGCAGAATCAACTGCTCCTGTCAGTGCTGCTGCTGCTCCATCACCTGCTGCAGGTGAAGCGACTGCTCCATCCGCAAACGCTGCCGCAGCTCCATCACCAGCTGCTGCTGCTCCAGCCGAAAGTGCTCCAGCTGCTGCTTCACCGCAACAATCACCAGCAGCTGCTCCAGCTGAAAGTGCTCCAGCTGCTGCTGCTCCAGCCGAAAGTGCTCCAGCTGCTGCTTCACCGCAACAATCACCAGCAGCTGCTCCAGCCGAAAGTGCTCCAGCTGCTGCTGCACCTCAACAATCACCATCCGCTGCTGCGCCTGCTGAAAATGCTCCTGCACAAGCACAACCTGCCGCTGCCCCATCACCTGCTGCTGAGGCCCCTGCAACTGGAAGTGCTGCTCCAGCCGAGTCTTCTGCCCCAGCTGCTGCTGCTCCAGCCGCAGGATCTGGATATGCAGCTGCTTCAGAGGCCACTGCTCCAGCCAGTGCTGCAGCACCTTCACCATCTGCCGCTGCAGCACCATCTCCAGCCGAACAAAAACCTGCTGAAACTGCTCCAGCCACTGCAGAGGTATGCAAAGAGTAATTCTTTACTGACGAATCGATAATTTAATAATTCAGGCTCCCGCTCCAGCCCAAAGTGCAGCAGCCCCATCTCCTGCAGCTTCAGCTCCTTCAGGTGGAGCTCCTGCAGAAGTTGCAGCACAACAACCATCTGCTCAAAATGCCGCCGCACCCGCTTCAGGGAATTCCCAATATGGAGGTGCTGCTGCAGCTGAGTCGTCTGCTCCTGCTGCCGCTGCTCCATCTCCTGCTGCCTCGGAATCAGCACCAGCAGCCGCTGTACCAGCAGAGTCAGCACCAGCAAAATCAGCTGCTCCTGCAGAGGCAGCACCAGCACAACCTGAGGTATTTTAAATATGGATACGATAAGTTGTATTCACCATCTCTCTTTCAGTCTGCACCAGCTCCAGCAGCTGCTCCATCACCAGCCGCCGCTCCTGCTGAAACTCAAGCAGCTTCTGCCCCTGCACCTGCGGCTGCCCCAGCTGAATCCGCTGCACCAGCTCAAGCAGCTGCTCCATCACCCGCTGCTGCTCCTGCCGAATCTGCTCCCGCTGCAGCTTCACCCTCGCAAGCTGCCGCTCCATCTGAATCTGCAGTTCCTGCCCAGGCAGCTCCAGCCTCTGCTGCAGCACCAGTTGAGGTATTGGGAGATAATGATTTTTATTTTTAATTTTAATTTGTTAAGTCTGCACCTTCTCCTGCTGCAGCTCCAGCCGCTGCTCAAAGTCCTGCTGGCGCTGAAGGCGCTTCTGGTTATAATGGTGCATCTCCAGCTGTAATATTAAGCTTTACGATAATTAATTTTTAATTTAAAATTTAAAGGCTGTCAATGCTCCAGCACCCGCAGCTTCTCCAAAAGGTGGCTATTAAAAAGAACATGTTGTTAATTTGAAAAATACCAAAAAATTAAAACTGGAATAATTTGGCCGTTTAGGCCTCCAAAATTGAAAACAAAATACTTTTCATATAAAAAACATTTTTTGATTTGAGAGTTTAAAAGTCCTTTAACTCACTAAAAGAGACACCCATAATTAGATACACCTTAATTTAAGACACATTTATAGAATTTGGTTGGTCATGCCTAGGCATAACACTCTAAAAGATACCTACACCTCGTTATGAATATTATAGCTTTTTCAGTCCTTAATCCCGAATTTATATTTAAATTCTTAAATCAAAAAACAATTTTATATGAAATATAAATTTATTCTTCTTTTCTAAATTTTGGGGGCCTAATCGGTATTTAAATAAAGGCAATATACTAATTGCATTTAAAATTAATTAAATATTAATTAACCCCTAAATTTAAATACCCACAACGACCTCTTTTGCCCCCCCCCCATCCCTCAATTATTTTTTATTTTTTACCGTTCAAAAAATATTTGTCAAATCTTTCCTTTGTTTTCTTTTTTTCTCTCAATTATTTGTTTTTTCTTTGCCTTAATCTTGCTTTTGGTTTGTATACTTAAATAAAATAAAATTTTGATTTTTTTATTATTATTTTAAAATTTTAGTGCTTAAACTAAAATATTAATTTAGTTTTGCATAACATTTTTTCAAAATTAAAATCTTAGAAAATGAGCATAATCTTAAAATTTTTATAATATTTAGAATATCCCTGATCTTATGAATTTATAAAAGAAAATTTTAGTATTCATCTGTGCGTTACTTCCCAAAAGCACACAACAACACACAATATCTAGTGTGTCAATGTTACTTTTTTATTTAGTTTGGCCAGTTCGCAAGAAATTAAATGAATTCCATTGAGATCTCGCAGATCGGACTCCCTTAGATTTGTAGAGATGAATTTTTACGTGACAATTTATTGTAAACAGGGAACTGCTTATAATTTTTTAAGAACAAAACTGTAAAATTTTAGATTTTATCATCAAATAGAAAATTGAATAAAAACAAATATAAAATCATAAATAAATTAAAAATATCAGCTTTGTGTCACTCTTTACAAAATATATTTGGTTTGCATCAAAAATTTAAGCTGAACAATATTTAAATAACATCAATGGTGAACACAATTAAGCTAAAAGTGTGTGTTGAAGTATGTGTGTGTGGCGTAAATTTAAATAGGCGTAAAGCTTCATGTAAATTTTAGAAATTTAGGTTATTTTCTATTATAGTGGAACCTCACTTAATACAACCCAAGCATCTTAAATGTTATGTTTTTAATGTTGTGTCCGTACTTATAAATATTCGTATACTTCGAACAAAATTATTAAAGACTTGATATCACATGCTTAAACTTTTTTTCAAATTAATTTAAAATAATTATTTAAAAACCTTTTAATTACTTTTATTTCCCTTTACATTTTTTTGGAATTTTTTTTTGTTATTTTAAATGGTTCCCTCCCTTTTATATATTTTTAACTCAAATGGTTTGCCAAAAATAGAAAAAGGAAATTTGAATTCCATTAAATTTAGTTAACAATCAATGTGTAGAAGAGAAGCAACAACTACCTATTTATTTTTACATATATGTAAATGTCCGAAAAAATAAAAAATGGCTCTTGTTCCATATTATGCGTCCAAACAAATTTTTCCAATGAAACCTTTATGCGTCCAATTGAATTTTCATGCGTCCAATGGATGGCGATAAGTACCCACCAGTTCTGCAATTTAGTACAACAAAATCTATGGGAATAGAAGCCTAACATAATACCGGAACAAGCATAATACCGGAACAGTCAAATCTCATTTTAGATACCCCTTAATTCTACCAAATTAAAAAATGTATCTGTAAATGAAGTCTTATTACTATTACTTTAATTACTTTAATAAATAATGCTAATAATTTAATTATTAATCATTTAAACTAAATAAACATAAATTTTCTTAAAATAATATTTATTTGTTTTTTTCATAAAGATTCATGCTTTTCGAGCATAGTAAATTTCCTCTTTTATACTTTCAAAGTGACAATTTGCTATGCCAATTTACATCAATTTTTTAAGTTCATTTTTGTGGATCTATTCTCTAAATTTCTTTTTTCTTCTTTCTGTTGTTTTTCCAACAACTTTTTTTAGTTTCCCTGTGGGAATTTTAAAAAATAAGGGGAAAGTGAGGGGACAGTTTGCGTAAAAATAGCAAATTTGTGCCGTATGTTCAAATACTTTTCTTTTCCAAAAAAACCTTTTTGGCTGTTAGCCTTTCTTTTTTCAATGCCACCACCTAAATAGTATATACGTATTTACACTTATCTCCTCCTATCTAAACTGAAGCTTTAAATTCTCTTTTATTTTTTTATTGTTAAGTAAAATCAATTGCAAAAATAAAATTTTATTTTTTTTTGGCAAATTAAATTTAATAAATTAATAAATTGCAAGGGAATTTCTTAATTATTTTATTTGTTGTTGAACCTCACTTTTAGATGCCCTTTGGGACTAATAATTTGTTTCGTTTAATAAATATGTAGGTGGGTATCGTCTAGACACCCCTCCCTCCCCCCTCCCCACGCCAAAGGTAAACCAAATTTTAAGAACGGATCTTAAACTGAAGTGTATTTACTGTTCTAAGGTCTGACTTTTATATAAATTACAGATGTCAAAAATTTCATTTTTAATTCCTTTAAAGAAATCTTTTTAAATTTTTTTCTTTAATTTAGAGCTTTCAATAATCATAATCTTTAATATATGTACTATAATCAAGTATTTTTTAAAATATTGTTTAAAAACATAATCATTAAAATTCTGTGATATATTTTTATTTTAAATAATTTTTAAAAATAATGGGAGACACAGACAGCTTTAAAGATTTACAAAATTTATTAGATAATGTAGAGAAGGTATTAATTAATTAATTCTTAATTTGTCATGTACATATGCCGAAAACCCTCTGTCTCAAATAATTACTTCCTCCATCTTGACATTGAAACAATAATTACACGGGGCAATTAATTTAGCATATATGTACGGTTAATTAATTAATTTTTAAAGTTAAATTCTTGGCGTAAATATGCTCGTCTTGTTCTTCCACACGTTGGACTTGTTCTGTAAATAAATAATTAAATAAGTCGAACCTCACTGTAGATAGCACACCCCGGTTCAAAATATTTTCCTTTAAATTTTGTCAAGCATTGGATAGGAGGAGCTGTCTAAGCGATACCTTCTATTTAAGGTACCTCTCATTATAATATAATTCTTACACCAAGGAATGTCAAATAGTGAGGTCCGTCAGTATTTACTAAATTTTTTAATTTTAAACATTTTTAAATTAGTGTTGTTTGTATTTATGCAATGATTGGTGCCTGGATATTTCATAGTATTGAATCACCACATGAAGATAGGGTAGAAAAATAATTAAATATTTAATTTTTTGAATAAATTTAAGTTAAAAATTAATGGAATTAAAAAAGTCCAAGAATTAAGACGAAGTTTGGCCAAGGAAATGTTAAATAGAAAACAAAAATTAAATAAAGAACAACGCAAATGGATAGAAGAAAGAAAATTGTTTTTAAGGAAGTTTGGAGAACAACTTTTTCATGTTTATAAAGAACAATATGTTAGGTAAGTGAAAAATTTTCTTAAAAATGTTTTCTCGATTACTGGAAAATTATTGGTAATTTTCTTATTAATAATCGGAACAGGATTGAATTGTTGAATTAGTATTGAATTTAGTCAAGAAGGTAGATAAATCTGTAAGGTAAATTCCAGATGTTGAATTCTTATTGGATAATCAGTTTGACCTCATTATGAGTATTCCCTATATTTGATCCGCTCAGCCTTTATCTAATTTTAGAGAGTCTCCGGGGTTTTAAAGCTTCCGGAGCAATATTTGTTAGGCTGCCTAAGCCTTTAAGAATTATAAAATACTATGCCCTAAAAGGTATCTCTTAAAGTGAAGTACATGTTTTTTGTAAAGGTATGAAGATGTTCGTCCAGCTCTGACACTAATTCAACAACAACAACAAATGTCCAGTACAATAACTCCACATTTAGATCCACGATTTAGGCGGCATTTTTCTAAATCCCGTTCAGAAGGTAAAATGTGGACACCAAGTAGTGCTTTATTTTTTGCTGCTACAACAATGGCTACAATTGGATATGGTGTTTTTATTTAAATATTTTAAATCAAATATTTATTACAATTAAAAGGTAATATAGTCCCTATGACGAATCAGGGAAGAATTGCTTGTATTATTTTTGCTCTTTTTGGTGCTCCTTTAGCTATTATGTTAGTAAATTAATTTTAAATTAATTTAAAAATATATTTAGAACAATTGGTGATTTGGGTAAATTTCTTTCTGAATGTACAATTTGGCTGGTAATTTTTGAACAATATTTCTAATAAATATACTTGAACTTTATTATAAGATATCCCTTGAATGAGATTTATCCGAAATTGAAGGTCTTGCTTATGTAGAGTCCCTTACCAAGCTACACATATTTATCTATCAGATAACCGCTAAATGCCCGGTTGGTGTCCTATCTGTCCGTAAAAAGAATACGTACTTTTTCCTTTTTTGCCATGTTTCCTTTTTGTTATAATACATACATGTCTTTTGGCACTTTTGCGGAAATGTAGGACACCAGCCGGACATTTACCCAGATAACATTATAGTGAGGTCTGACTGGATACTGAGATTTATTTGAGATTTATTATTGAATAAAAAGACATCTGTTAAGGATTTTCCAATTTAATAGATTTATTCAAATTTAATTTTCTAGTATCGACACTCTAAAGACAAATATCGTTTTTATCGTTACCGGATTAGCCAGTCATTAATGGCACACAGATCTAATCAAAGAAGGCGACTAAAAGGTGAAAATATTTAGGGATTTTTAATTAAAAAAATTATTTTTTAAAGAGGATTTTATCTCTGGAGAATTAGCAGGGGATTTAGAGATGGGAAATAATAACAATGCGGATGATCTT